AAAAAAAAAAAAAAAAAAAAAAAAAAAAGATTACATACTATATGATTCCATTTACATTACACTGTTGAAATGACCAAAGTATAGACATGGAGAACAAATTAGTTCTTGCCAGGTTAGCATGAGGGAGAGCTTTGTGCAAATGAAATAGTTTTATATGCTGATTATGGTGGTAGTTACATAAATATACATATCATAAAATGACAAAGAATATACATACATTGTACCATTGTCAACTTCCAAGTTTTGATTTTTTTTTTTTTTTTTTTTGCATTACGCGGGCCTCTCACTGTTGTGGCCTCTCCGGTTGTGGAGCACAGGCTCCGGACGCACAGGCTCAGCAGCCATGGCTCATGGGCCTAGCCACTCCGCAGTATGTGGAATCTTCCTGGACCGGGGCATGAACCCGTGTCCCCTGCATCAGCAGGCGGACTCTTAACCACTGCGCCACCAGGGAAGCCCCAGGTTTTGATATTTTAGTATCATTATATAAGAGGTAACCAACCATTGGGGTAACTGAGTGAAGAGTACCCAGCATCCCTAGCACCGCTCTGTTCTATCTTTGCAACTTCCTGTGAACCTATAAGTATTTCAAAAAATAAAAATGAATGCAAAGCCAAATGTCTGAGACCTCTGGTAGAATTTTCTACGTTCTCTACAGTGAAACAGTACCTCCTCATTTGAATGGTCCCAGAGTAAACACAGTTCATATTTTTATAGGGTACTTTGAAAACAAAGAAAGATGAAACAATCACACACAAAATTATAAACTTTCTCTTCATCTCAGATGTTGGCATTACTTTCTCATCCATCTTCATTCCATCTTCTGGCCTTTCAAGTCTCATATCTTGAGTTTACCGCTCAGTGACCTACACTACACTAAAAAATTACTGGTCCCTATGCCTTGTTTTTTCATTCCAATGAAGCTGTACATTCCTTCAGAAATTTCAACTAGATATTAGGTTATCCAATTCCAGATTAGACTCCTGATGAAAGGTATACTCTAAAATAAAGAAAAAAAGCTCTTCAGCCCCAATTAATATCAAATTAATAAAAGTTACAGTGTAAGAGAGATTTCTGAGCAGAAAAGCTTTCCAGATTCTGCTAGCCTACTCTAAGCCATCTCCTGCCCTCCCTCTCACAACACCCCAGGCCAACTTTAGCAACCCGATACTTTCCTTCATAAAACAAACACCCCAAAAAAACAATTTACATCTGCAAAGCACTTTGGTTCATAAAGCACTTGTACACAAGGGATCTCATTTGGTGCTCATTAGACTGTAGAATACATAAAATCAAGTATCTATTTTCATCCCCATTTTAGAGATGAGGTAACTTGACTTGGCAAAGTAACTTCTCCATACCATGAAGGTGAACAGTTAAGTTGCAGAATAGGGGATATAACTCAGATCTGTTGATTCCTAATCCTAAGCAATGTCAACATATTCTATCAACCTAAGCACCCCATTCCCAATGTGGTAACAGATATTTAGTAACAGTAAATGCGAGAAGAACAGAGGCAAACAGCGGATCCAATTGAATTGATCTGATCCCACTGAAAGCAGAGGTTCTTAAAGTATGATCTAATCCTGAGATCGGTAATATGTCTAGTGATTCTAAATACAGCTTTCAAAATAGGAGGTTGAAATGTACTTCTGTGTGGCTGAAGAACTCAGCTGGCACAGCAGAGAATAGAAAGAAAGGAGACTTTAAATTTACTTTAGGTAACTACTGCTATATGCAACTCACCAACTCAAGTTTGTGAAGAAAGGGCAGAATAATGGTGCTATAATTTAAATAATTAAAAATAAATAAATTAAATTGGATCCCTAGCTCCCCCACATCTTAGCCAAGGGAAAAAATAACAAAGCAAGGCTAAGCACAGGAAACCTCAAGGAATCATCTATGATAACCTGATTTTTAATATTCTGATTCTCCTCCTAATCTGTTCTTTCCAGAGGAAAGCATGGCTGGGATTTGTCAACCGCTGATCAAAGTGTAAGGTTAAAAAAAAAGGCAAAATAATTGGAAAAAGCCTTGAATCACATGAAAGAAAGTACTTTTGATGGCAGCAAACGGAAATGCAGAGTAGATGACCCCCGGACTGCTCGCCGCAATATAACAGTCCTCAGACAAAAAGTCTGAGAACCACACAATGTACAAATTAACAAACAACAAAGGAGATTTACTGTGAAAAGCAGAAGAGCATATAAGATAAAACTCATGATCTTAAAGCTGCTAAACATTCCATCAACATTTATTATTAATAGTCTGCTTTTTGATTCAAACGAGTTGGTGGCCCCATTTTACCCCCCCTTTCTAACAGGATCATGTTGCTTCAGGAGAAATAAAAGGGAAACTTTATAGAAGTCTTACCAACACGATATTTTAGTTCTACGATGGTTTCGCCTTCTCTGCTTAATTCTGTTACTTCACAAGTGTAGTTTCCTAAGACAGCATCACGTTTATCCATCGTCAAAGAGGCAATGCCATTTAGTAATTCTGATGGTGAGATTTTTGCACTAGTAAAGTTATTGCTGGAATTGGACCTTTGCTGAACTCCATCAAAGATGAAAATGTCTTTTCCTTTAAATTTCCACCTGACATACAATTCAGCAATGCTCTTCGCCTCCATGTTATTAACAAAACATGGGATGACAACAGTTTGATTGCAAACGGTGTATTCTACAGATTTGGTTGTATTAAATATTAGCTGAGCTGAACCTGGAAAAGAGAAATAAAATTGTTTCATTTCATTACAGAATTCTATACTATGAGATTTTACGTATGTTACAAATCCTTAAGATAAAGAGAAATACTTCTATTGTTCACTTAAGCAAGCAAGCAGCTATAGAGAAGAGAAGATGGGCAAGGTTAAAAAAAGAAACAAATTATTTTAATATTAACATGCACAGCTGATAGACAATACTGTACACTTCTTGCTTGTTCATTCCCAGTAAAACAAAACATACATTCTCACACATCTTGGGAATAAATTCAGCAACTGTGTTAGAACATGCAGGTGTGGTATCTGGCTTTGGAAGCTTTGAAGTAATCATTACTGTCTTCTGATATATGTAGAAAAATACTATCCTTACTATGAGAAAATTTTAAACAGAAAATAAAACCAAATATTATATTCAGTCTTAACTTCTATACACTCCTCCAAATAGAACTTGCTAAACTGATATGAAGTTTATCTCTATCCCTATGTTGCATTTCCGAAAACGGTGTCAGGCTCTACTGTACTTAAATATAAAAAGTAAATCACATGAATCACATCACATCTTTCCACTAGGATGGAAAGTCTTAGAATGCTAAGGGGAAAAAAACATTCTCTATGGCTATTTTCCCATTGCAAAATACAGACAGCAACAGACATTTTGCATGCGAGTATTATAAAAGATTATACACAATTGAATGGTATTTTCCCACTCCCACATTTCACTGAAACTAAGGAACAGCTTCCAAATGTATATTACAGGTTCCTTCCTTCTAGAAACCAAAAACCACCCAAAATAAAGCTAAGATGCAAGTTGAAACCAAGAGCAGATACTGCTAATAAGTAGCATATATTTCATCAACTCTTTTCAATAGGATAAACTACTGGTTGTTGCCTTATAAAAGAGGGATTGAGAAATGCATCATCTTTCATCTAGAATGTGCAAAAATGTGGAGAAATTGTAGTTGTCTTCCATATTCTTCAGCCATTTAACAACTCTTTCATCTAAGTAGTTCCTTGGTGTTTCTCTCAAAAAAAGCACTAACAAATATAAATAAAACCTCAAGTTTAATCATTCACCTTTAAGATTTTTTCCTTCATCGGGGCATAGGATGGTATTACTCTAGGAACATAATTACTATTCAATAAATGCCCACTGAATTGAATGCTAGGATGCAGAGTGGAATATGAACTGAACAATGTTCAAGAAGCCTGAGAACAAATCCCATCTCTGTCAATTTTCAGTATGCGACCTTAAGCAATTCACTTAACTTCTCTATGCCTTGGTTTACTCTCTGTAAGTAAGAGGATGAAAAAGGGCTTCCCTGGTGGCGCAGTAGTTGAGAGTCCGCCTGCCGATGCAGGGAACGCGGGTTCGTGCCCTGGTCCGGGAGGATCCCACATGCCGCGGAGCGACTGGGCCCGTGAGCCATGGCCGCTGAGCTTGCGCGTCCGGAGCCTGCGAGTCCGGAGCCTGTGCTCCGCAACGGGAGAGGCCACAACGGTGAGAGGCCCGCGTACCGCAAAAACAAACAAACAAACAAAAAAGAACGAACACTGGGCTGCTTCACAGAACTGTGGTCAGCAACACAGGAGAAAATATATTGGCAAGTGCTCTCTAAACAATACTGTGCTATAAATATGTAGGATGATACTATAAAAACTAAGCACTATACAGCATTTTAATGTAATGTTCCAGACCTTCTCTGACTGGCAGGTCTAAATTGTTACATTTCTGGGAATCCTGCAGTCTGAATCAATCCTGTGGGCATCCATAGCTCACCTCTCCCTAGTTCTTTATATTTCTAGCCACCCAAATATCAGGAAGCCCCAGGCAAAACCTGGACTTCCAACTGCATTCTTCAAAACCTTGGAGTTGTAAATTATTTCCCCTGAGAAATAAGCATTAGTGGGAAACTACAGTGTACAAGGAGAGGAGTGGCTATGATGTTGGAATTAGAAGGGAAGGAAAGTGTCAGAAAATATGGTCAACGATTTTGAAATGGACAAAAAGATTACTGGGAGTCCTTTCAGAGGAGTGCTGGGCACTGTCTGACAGATGCTTTTGGAATATCTGATTCTATAGGGGCCTGTGCCTTTTGCTAAGACTGGGCTGCTTTTACAATTTTGCAAGTTGTAGAAAACTGATGGTAATGCGAATGATTCAGATCCATAGAGATACAAATAAACTTTGTTCTGCCATTGATTTCCACCTGGTGGAAGAGAGGAATTTAAACAATTACATTTTAGGGGCTTCCCTGGAGGTCTAGTGCTTAAGACTCAGTGCTTCCACTTCAGGGGGCACAGGTTTGATCCCTGGTTGGAGAACTAAGATCCTGCACGCCTTGCAGCGTGGCCAAAAATTTTTTTTTTTTAATTTTATTTTATTGCGCTGAGGACACTGACCAATTTTGCATTTGCTCAGAAATTCATTTCACCATTCCTGATTTCCCATATGTACATGTGTCTATTCTTCCAATTCTCTTTTAAAACCAAGATGGTTGTACCGTCTTGCTGGTTTGCTTATTAATGTGAAATAAAAACTTTGACACATGTTCATTTTATATTTGTTTGAGTCAAGATTTTACCTTCTAAAAACTATCCTTTAATTAAAGAGATACAAGTGAAGAGCTAAGTTATCCCAGTGATATTTTTTAGAAGTGGTAAGACCGCTTCTAAGTAAGAAGCAGTCAGCAAGCACTCCACGATTTCATAACTTATGTTTAGAAAATGAATTTTCTAAAGAATACAGAAAGCACTGATTACACTGTTATTTGTTGTAATATTAATGCAAACATTTTTATAGCTGAAGCAATTTAAGTAGAATAAATGCTGTCAATAAACTTCAAAGTGAAATTGACCTGGATAAACTATAATTTGAATAATCCTTGCACTAATAGTTAATAAATATAGTCCAAAAATGTTGCTCCATCAGCTGTTAACTACAACTTCATCCTCTATAAACATTTGTTAAAAAGCTATTAAGCAGTAAAATTATCTGATTTGGTTTTTCTCTATTTTGCCTACTGCCTTCTGATGAAACAGCAAAGTGAAGAAATGATCTAAAATAGAGCAAATAAAGGATCATATAGATAATTATCATAAGTAAGTTCTGAATAATCAAGAAATGCCTACAGCAGTCTAAATCAGATAGAAATTGATAAGTATAACCATCAGCCATGCTAGAGTTACAGATAAATTAACAAATGAAATGAGAAAATTAACTTATATCAAATGCCAAAAATATTGGACCTTACAACCTCTGTGAATACAGACCACCAACTCAAACCATCTCATACCACAGTCCTCAAAACAGCTGCTATACACTTTCAGAAAAGGCTTAATACATGATACTCACAGTACACAGGTCTAGGTCAGAAATGCTAACATGCAGCAAATGTTTATTGAGAATTACCTGATCTGAAACACTGTGACAGGATGTGGGGATACATTAATGGAAAAAAATGTAGGAATTATCTTTAGGAAGCTTAGAATTCTCACTTGGGGGACTGATACATACTTTTTATAACCCAAGGTCATAAGGGCTGTCCTTCCTGTATGAAGTGCTATGGATGGGCAGGGAAGTAATCAGTCTTACGGATTTCAAGGAAAATATTTGTTGGGTCTTCCCTGGCGGCACAGTGGTTAACAATCTGCCTGCCAATGCAGGGGACACGGGTTTGAGCCCTGGTTGGGGAGGATCCCACATGCCGCGGAGCAACTAAGCCCATGCGCCACAACTACAGAGCCTGCGCTCTAGGGCCCTTGAGCCACAACTACTGAGCCGTGTACCACAACTACTGAAGCCCATGTGCCTAGAGCCCGTGCTCTGCAACAAGAGAAGCCACCATAATGAGAAGCCCGCTCATTGCAACAAAAAGTAGCCCCCGCTCACCAGAACTAGAGAAAGCCCACGCACAGCAGCGAAGACCCAACGCAGCCAAAAATAAAATAAAATAAATACATTTATTTTTTTAAAAAAAGAAAATGTTTGCTGCTACTAAGGGAACAACAGAAGATTGCCATAGACCCTGACCATTTAGGCCTTCAATCTTTTATCATTTCACATGTTCCACATAAAAATTCTCTCCTTTGTAACAACTCTGAAATCACTCTCCTTTTGCAAGAGGTTATCTTATACTCTCTGAAGGAGCCCTCTCTTCCTATTTCAAGTTGAGTCCCCCAGATAAGAAACCAGAAGCTTCCAATACTTCCACCTATAAATTTTCCTGCTACCCCAACTATCCACACCTCTCTTCCCCTCACTTCCTCCTCTTCAGAAATGAACCCTGTCACCTGAGAGCTAGTTTACATTTCTGCCCCACGCTCATCAATCTCCTCGAGAACTTTCCCTCGTTGACTATCATCCTCCGACATCCCTCAAGTTCATTTACAGTAGGTTTAAAAAAACTTTTTAAAATGCTTGAATATTAGTCAACTGAAAAAAAAATCCCTTGTACTTGTCTCTGTTTCCTAGCATCCTAGAAAGATAATCTACATGCATTTCTTCACCTCTTACTCACTTCTTAAATCTCTGCCACCTGGCCTCCACCTTGGCCTTTTTCACTACAACAGCTCTTGCCAAAATCACCAATCATCCCCTGTGAAAACGGAATGCACATGGTTCACTCTCTATCTTGACTTCTCTACAGTTCTTGAGCCAGTGGGCAGCTCCTTTCTTGCTCTTGTCTCTTGGCTTCTATGTCTCTGGATTTCCTCCTAGAGCCGTCACCACCTCGTTGCAGCAGTTTTTCTTTATTGAAATCTATTCCTTGACTCACAATAAATATTAGGTTCCTAAGGACTTCCTGTCCAACGCTGCCCCCCACCCCTCCCCACCCCAGTATTCTCCCTCACTCCAGGTTTTAACTACCCACTCATTTTATTTAACTAGGCCTCACCTTTCTCCTTAACTGTAGACCTTGGAAAGCCAACTGGCTGCTATGTGTTTCCACTTGGATGCACTACAGTTACTTCAGAGTCAACATGTCCAAAAATCTAC